AAAAAGCCATATTTTGACTGTCTCTTTCAACAACAGAAAGGAGGCTGGAGGAGCTCAAATGATTTGTCCACCTTCTTTTGACAGTCCTGAAGCCAGCTGGGGATGGAGGGAAAGGATTGAGGCTCAGATCATTTCCTTGTGCTCTCTTATGGGCTTGCTTCACTTCCTCTTATTGTCCTGGATCTGATCCTGCCTGCTCTGCCCAAAACGACTGGGAGGGACAAGGGAGGGGGAAGGGAGGGCATGTGAGAGTCAGCCTGGCATTGGGCTTGGAAAAAAAACAGCCTCCTTCCTCCCCATGGCATGCAGGAATAATTCACCCAGGGACAATGTGCTGGCAGTGACTTTCCAGATCAATTTATAGCCTGACCTAAAGCTTTCTTCCTGCCCAGAATGAAAGGAGAAGGAAGAATGGCTAATTTTTGTTCAAAATAGGTGTCTTTGGTGAGGTTAGTCTACATCAGAGTGAATTTGAGGTCTTAACACTGAATCTGCTCAGTGTATGCTTTCCAACTCAAGTCATCACTGCAAGTCAGTTATTAAGGAATCACCCTGCAGATAAGGAGAGAGGCTGTAAGCAGGTTTAAAATTTCCTAAAAAGCTGATAAGATGGTTAAAAAGAAATAAAGGCCAGGGTATAGACTGGCTGTTTCTTAAAGTAAATCTATGAGTTCCCAGAGTAATAGAGAGCACTCTATCTGTGGTTTCCCGGAAAGGAAATAATACAGTCAGATTAACTCCGGGAAAGTGGCAGCCTTCCCTTCCTCTCCAGATAAGCCGGAGCAGCACAGCCCATCCAGCCACCTCGAGGACATGATCTGCCACCCAATAACCAGGGACTGTAATGGTCAGTGCCCTACAATGGCTTCCCTCCATTCCCACTCGTGTGTGCATCACTCCCCTTTCTTCAAATCTGGAGCGGTGCCCTTTTGGGTAAGGGTTCATGGACACGGCAAACAGGGGCAACTTTGGTCCTTTCTTTTCTAGGCAGTGTTAACAACTCAGCAGCCCAAAGAATTTGTCTTGCAATCCCCTCTGCGGTTCAGCTTTCTATTCTCTATTCAAGCAGCATGAATGAACTGAAGCCTCTATTTGCATTCTTTTCAAATTGCCCTCCACTGCTTGCATGAGACCTCTGGAAGTTTGTCGAAAGAGTAGCAGAGCCAAGATATTTTAGCCAGGCATGATGCCCCACCACTACTGCAAAAATCACTTCAAAGCAACTGCTGAGTCAGAGTAAAGGGGACTGAATGAGTTTGCTTCCCAAAGATCACAATGCAAACCCCAGAAAGAGGAGGAGCAGGAAGGCACGTCAGTGGGTCAATGGATGCAGCATTCCCTGTCCTTGAGTCACTTCTCCTGCAGGAATTCATGAGATGTGGCATCTCCCAAGCACATCTGAGAGAAGCATATGACCTGGGCAAGGACACAGGGCTTTGAGGGAGGCTTTATAAAGAAATCCCATCCTGGATTACTGGTAAGGACACCGCTTAAGGCACTCATTCTAGGGTTTGGGGGGGGGGTAGGGGGCTAAAGATGCCTACTCTGCCACAACACAGGGTCAGCAAGCCAGCAGCATCATGTTTGCAAGCCAAGAAGCCACGTGCTCCAGTGTGGAAAGTGCATAGGGTTGCTTTCAGGCTTCCTTCCCTGAGGTCCCAGATAAAGGGGGGAAAGTACCTTTGTTCTCCTTTGCCTTCACCTTACTGCAGCTTTGAAAAAGGGAAGAGCTGCCCATTTATGTTATTTTTTTTTTTGGAAAGCAAAGTGTAGACATTTTTTTATTTTAAGGCTTTCTACAGTTTTAAAACTGATGCAGTATTTTCCTCTGCACCTACTGGAGAGCAGTGTAGCTCACTGTATGCCATTTGTCTCATGCTTTGGAAAGTCCTTCCCTGACCTTGGTGGTCACCACTTCCTCCTCTTCTTCTCTTCTTCATCAAGGTACTTTCTGATTCCTTTTTCCAAGGGTCACAAGGGTAGGGGAATGGTGGGAAATGTCCATCATGGTCCCCTTCTGCTCCTCATCTTCTCTTCTGCTCCAGATTCAGCTGGGCCCACACTGTGTCCAGACCCCTATCTCACCTGTCATCCAAATCTGCCAAGAAATCATCATACTGCAACACGAGCTGGGTAAGAGAGTATGCTCCTGCCCCATCTTAAGATTTTAAAACAATTCCCACTCTGTGTTTGCTGAAACCTTCTGGAGTCTTTCAGCAGAAGGAAAAGTGTCCACCCTAGGGTAGCCCAGAGCCTGGTGGTTAGCACGTGAACTTTGGTAATTGCACGCAGAGGAAGAAGAACAGGCACCTGAACCTTCTGTGTCCCTTCATCCCTTCAAATCCTGCCTTGCTAAAACCAGTCTAGTCCTGCAGGCAGTGCTGATCTTGATGAATCATCATTTTCCAGCAGAAAAAGTGACATTTACAATTTCCCAACCAGTTGTAATTGAGAGCATTCAGAAAAAGCAAACAAACAAAAGATCAGACCAAACAATGGCAGAGGACAGGAAATGAGCTGGGCATCTCCGAAGAGCTGTCCTCACCTGAACATCACTGCCAGGGCAGGAGTGCCAGCAGACAATCAGGTCTGGGCCAGATGCAAGAACCACCATGGTTGTCTGAGCTTGTTCTTGCTACAAATGACTGCTGTGTCCTTCGGCTCTGAACACATGTAGGCTCTCTCTGCAATGCAAGATGCATCTCTGGCGATTTCTAGACTGCTCTGGTTTGCACCTGTCCTTGGCATGACCCATGTGCCCCCTTCCTAGAGAAGCCAGTGGAATCTCCACAGACTCGGATATACCCCTTTTGTTTTATCTGTTTCCATCACCACTGTGCAGCACTTGGAGAAGTGTTAGTACCAGTCTGGCAGTCAAGCACTCAAGGCTCCTCCCACACCACCTCTTTCTCTTCCAGTATTCATACTTCCAACCTTTCTCATCAGCAGAGCTATACAATTTTGCTAGGTAGATACAGAGGGAAGCCTCAGATCTGCACTAGGAAGTCTCAGTCTTGTTTCGGAAGATCTTCTACCCACTCACGTTCCATGGAACCCTAACTCTGAGTGCAGGATCTCAATCCTAGGTGATGGAGGACAAGTCTGTGTGACTCCAGTAAGTCTTGGGTTTTTAGGAACACATCTCTTGGATATGCCTTCCCTCCAGAACATGTTTGGGATCAGGATAGCATCTCCGTGGGGTGGGTGGATGGATGGATAGTTGGGATTGCTGGAACTTTGCTGCATGCCTAAATATGTTTGTGGCCTTCTCAGGAGCAATAGCTCTGCCATTTTCACTGTAGAAACACCTGTCCTGATCTCATGGGTCACCAGGACAGGTAGGAGAATTGCTTCTGGGGAGTCCCCTTTAGAAACAACTGGAGCTATATACTGTGAGGTTTGGTGGGTACCAAGTAGCTCAGAAACAGCAAACGTCTTGCCATGCTTTCATAACCATAAGATTTTGGCCTGAGGCTGCTTGTCACAGTTGAAAGCTCTGCTGCTGGAATATTCATCGGGGCCCAGAGGAAAGGGCAATTGAGAGGGATGGAAGGATGGCCAGGGGGAGCAGGACTGGCTGAGCAACACTGGTGAGACACCTGCAGGAGGAGGCCCCTGTCTTGGGCTCTTGGGTGCATCAAGGGAACCTGTATGGAAGGTCACCACAGGGAATCACAAGTGCTTTCTGATTTCAATTTTTATGTCTGTACCTTCTTTTCAACAGCTCCTTCAGCTGCTTTTCCAGCCTTTCAGTTTGTAGTGGTTGGGCCAGTTTTGTGCTCATGATAGGAGCAGGAGTAATGCATCCTGGCAGGGATGAGATGGCAGCTTCCATCTGTGTAGTGCCACCAGAGGCAGTCAGAACAGGTTTGGGAAAAGAGGCTGTTAAAACCACAGCCTCCTCTCAGACAAGCTTTCAAAAACTACCAGCAAAGTGCAGCCCCGGCCACTGCTGTCACCTCTGCCAGGCTGAGCCCATCCCACAGGGACCTCCTGCATGTCTTTCACTAGATTGGCATGGGAGTCCCTTGGCAGAGGGAACACACCCCTTCCCTACACTCTGTGCCACTCCAGCTAGCTGGCATTGCTGTGGCAGCTTTTCCTCCAGAAAGTGGTGATTGTAGGGCCAGATACTTGAAAAAGGTTTGCAGCAACAGGAGCAGGAATACTGCCCAATATGTGGCCAACAGACTCAAAACTTCACTCAAAATTCCTTTTGGATTGAATCCTCTTTCAGTACATGGCTTGTCATATACTTACGAATGATAAACACATCCCACAGCTGGGACTCTGCCTGGGCCTTCCACAAGCAGAATGGGGAACTGGATACATTTTCTGAATTGGCCATGGTGGTCATCCATGGTTTTTCTAAGTACAGTTAATAGGTGATTAATTCTTTGATTAATCTGTACTGTTTCCATTATGTAGCTGAGGAAGTTCAGTCTCCCAGCTGCATGGCTCTATTTGGGCTGTGAACTGCAGGAAGATGATCAGTATGACATTGTCCCAGATATTCCCCTGTAATGTTTCCCTAGCAAGGGAAGTCTTGTTCAAACCTCTCTGCCTTCTCCTCCTTGTCCCAAGCACTGGGGGTACCAGATGCTCGGCACACCCACGCCGATGCTGCGTAATATCCCTCCTTCCTCATTCCCATGGAGTTCATTTCACACAAACACAGAATATTCTGAGTTGGAATGGTCTCACAAGGATCATCAAGTCCAACTCTTAAGTGAATGGCCCATACAGGATTCCAACTCATGACCATGGTGTTATTAGCACCGTGCTCTAACCCCCTGAGCTAACTTCAGGGTTGTATGGTAGAGGGAGAGCGTGAAGTGATGCCTGGCTCCAGGACCTTGTAAAACTGCCTTACCCAAGCACAGACACTGATGCCCTAAAGGAGACACCAGTGGCCCCCTCCCCATGACATTGACACATGAACCAGCACAGTCCTTCCAATAGATCACAACATTTATTCCATTGCTTTGAAGGTGCAGTAGCATAAGTGCGTGTTTCTACCTGTGGCCTGCGAACTCCCCACCGCCAGCCTTGCCACTAGTTGCAGTAGTTTTCCAGTTGGTAGAGGGAGCATGTGTTGTGGCAGCATTGCTCAACAATCCCTCGCTTCACTTTCTCAAACTCCTCCTGCTGGAAGGGCAGCTCTCCCACCTCACCATGCAAGGGACCGCTCACTGCCAGGGAAGAAAAAGAGAAGCTGCAGGACATCACACAGCATCAGGCCAAGCTGCTGAGCCCTGCAGATCCCCCCTTAGCAGACACCAGATTGTTAAGCTTAAGGAAGGACATTGCAAAGGTTTCCCCAAGTTGATGATGCTTGGAGCACCTTCAGGTCCCTGTTTCCTCTTCCAAAATAATCCTATGGTGTTCAGAATGTGCCAAGATGAGTGGATATCAGCAGAGTGAAGGACAAAGGGACACAAGGGCTTTATTGAGGAAGGTGTTTGGAGAAGAAGAGAAAGTCTGCATCCTCCCTGGGGTGAGCAGCTAGTAAATAAGATGATAAAATGGGATGATATGCTCTACAGAGATGAGTTGTTTGGGACTGCAGCCCCTCTTGGGATTGTCCATAGAATTGCTTGTACAGTCCAGTCCTGAACCTGGCTGAATTTCCCAGTTGTTCCTGAACAGCCTGCTCCAGTCGGCTGCCTGGATATAGCCCCAAGCCAATGGCAAAAGCATTTGTGTGTGTCCCTGTTCACAGCTGGGGGCAAGTTTTAGAAGCAATGATAAATTAGGGTATTTGGACACAGATAAAACTCAACAGAATGTCTTATTTACTGGAGAGAACTTGAAAACATGTGCACAGATCTGTTCAGGTTTTAGTTGCACAATGAAAATATGAAAAATGGCAAATAAATCAGTGATTTTTTCCTGCAGGAAGAAAAGAGCCCCTAAAAACAACAAAGAGAAAATGCCTGGAAAGCAAGAACGAGATGTGGTTTCTAGGGCAATATGAAAGTACAGCACAGGATGCAAAATCCCCAAGCCCCCAAAGCGTGATGCAATGAACAAGGCACAAGAGTAACATGAAATCATTATGCTAGTGTGCTAGGAGGGAAATTTAGAGAAGATTTGGTCCAACATTAAGCAGAAGAGGAAATAGCTAGTCAATGTTTTGTAATTTACTTGTCTTCATCCTTCAAGCCAGCTGTGAGTAGATTGTAAACACAACCAGTTTGTGTGACAAAGAGGTGGTGGCTCAGGCAAAAGTCCTGGAAAAAGAGGTAGAAAGTCCTCAAATACTTGCAATCTGTTTAGCCTGATCAAATTCTCTGTACAGTATTTAGGGAATTTGGCCAATGAAATTTCCAACCCCTTTGTGGTGGCCTTCAGAAATAAATAATCAGAGAACAGAGCAAATAACATCACAGCTGGGCATTCTAAACAAATCATGGCAAACCCTCTGCTATGACATTACCTGGTTTCACCTTACAAAGACCTCTAAGACTATTTCACAGGATGGTTACATACACAGAAGAAGGAATTGGATACCAATGAAAACAGTATGTGATGAGAAGAGAAATCATGGGAGAGGGTATTGTAGTGAGGGGAGGCTAAGTAATGATCCATCTTGAAATGAGAGGGTTGAAATGGATGTGTTTGGCAGGGGTCCCTTCTGCATCTATTCACAGTCTTCATTAGTAGCTTGGAAGACAGAATAAAGATTGTGCTTGCTGGGTTTATAGAGGAGCCAGAGCTGAGGAGCCACAGGTACCCATGTCCAGGAGAGATGACCTTTGCATTACAGCTGGACCATTACAGATCTTGGCCCTATCTAGATACAAACACCATGCTGAAGGGCAGATCTCTGGACTGCCTCATCCCACCTGCATTGCCATACAGACACCACGTACTCGACCAGGGGCAGTGACCCAGCACTGCCGGGGGTGCTGGCAGGGCTGTCTTCTCCTGACTCTTGGCTCTTGCACTCATCAATGGTTCAGGAATGCTAAGGAGGGGGAACTAAAGCAGCTCTACCAGCATTTTGCCACCATGAAATAAAAGACATGATAAAATGCCTCTTGAAGGGCAAGATTAGTACTCAAATTTACATTTGAAATTATAGAAACACAGAAAAATGAGTTCAGTAAGCAACAGGAAAGACACTAAAGGTAGACAGTGAGACTGTGTTGCACATTCAGGACAGGGGTTTGACTGTGGTAGCAAACCTTCAAGGACTGCTAAGCCACCCAAGGGAGGGCCAAGATACCCCAGGGAGACAGCAGTCAACATCAATGGAAAACGCAGCGCTACTTTGAAAAAGGCAAAGTGCCTGTGTAGACAGGAACAAGGTGTGAAACTTGAAATATTGTTCTTCCAGTCTAATCACTCTACGTGGCACTGTCGAAACCTCAGCTGGGATCCAATGTTCTTCTCCAGGCCCCACCAGTCAGTAAGGATGTGGACAAATGCAGAACAACTTGCATGGTTAGAGATCTAGGAAATATGACCTAAGAAGGTAGTAGGGTTGTGTAGCTGAGGACAGGTTAAAACTAGACAGTAGGAGAACAGTATTTAAATATTTTGAAAAGCAGTCATAAAGAAGAAAGGAGTAGACTCTTCCCCATGTCCGCTACTGAGAAGACAAGAAATAATTTATAGCATGGGATGTTCAGGTTAGATATTGGGAAGAAACACTCAAGAAGAAGGTCAGTTAAGCTAGGGAACAGGCAGTTTCAGATGACAGAAGAAGCTTTCTCTCTGGAGGTTTTTATGGACATACTAGGCAAGCATGGGTAAGGAATAGAACGGGGACAACTGATCCTGTCTTGGGGCAGATGGAGGCTTCTTGAGTTCCTTCCACCTTTATATTCTATGAATGTGCCCAGGCCAGTGTAATGGCAGCACAAAGAAATAGATGAGTCTGAGCTATCAGGCACAATTCCTTTTGTCTCATAAATCCTCTTTCCCTGCCTGCCCTCTCATCTGCCTTTTTAGCTTGAAGAGCTTTTCACTGGCAATGTGATGCTGCTGGTATGCTAAAGGTATTCCTGGCATTCCCCATCAAGGACATTCCTGGTGTCACTGTCAAAGACAGGCAGTTGTTGCATTTCACATCACTTAGCATAGATTGCTTTCACAGTCAGCCTGACTTACCCAGAGGCTGCTCGACATCCCGTCGGGCTTTGGGGTAGTAGAAGAAACCCCGCTCTCCACACACCAGGTAGAGAGCCTCCACCAAGTGGGAGCCACAGAGGTGCTGGTTGGCAGCCCCGTGGCTGGTCCCAGGTCCGGAAAGGGCGAGAAGGGCCAGAAGAGGCAGCGATCGGATCCAGAGAGCCATGGTGAGCAGGGTGAGGCCTAAGGTTAAGAGCCAGAGAAGACACAGGGAGGTCTAGGAGGAAAAATTAGGTTGTAATCAAGATCCTTTGGCATGAAAATGAGACCAAAGCAGGAGATGCACCTTCTAAAGATGCACTAGCTTGAGAGGGAAGGAGAGTTCTCTGCATCAGGCTTTACAAGTCACAGTAAATGACTAACGGTTATAACCATAAATCCATCTCCATCCACATATTCACATCACCCTTCATCTCCCTGCTGTCTTGTCTCAAAAGGCCAAATTAGGCTGAAGAACCATCCCACCAAGCCCTATAGCGTACATACCCAGGAGAGGGAAGATCAGCAGACACTTTCAGAGGAAAAACTCTCTCTGTCAAATCAGAAGGGTCTGTAATTTATGATGGCCCCAAACCAGCACAATGTGCTCAAAGGCTTGAGGAGACCTCATTTTCTTGGGCCAACAAGCCAGTTACATCAACTTAAGAAAACAACTCTGCTAAACAGATGGAAGCTAAAAGGGAGGCAATCTGACTTACCCGAAGAGGTGGCAGCAAGAGGTGGAGAGACGTTTGCTCTGAGAGATGATGATTGGTAGTAATATCCCCATTCTCTTGTTCCCATATTTATACTCTTTAAGTTAGCCCAAGTGACACAAGAGCTATGAGCCCCACCTCCTTGATGACACACTAGCCAAAATTTTTGCTACTTGTGCAAACTAATTTCCCTCTGCTTAACATCCACAGGTCTTTATGCATGTTAGGACAGAAGCAAGAGTTTGCAGTTTCCATCTCATTTAGTCCAACCTGTTTTCTCTTCCCTGAAGCTCTGTCCTGAGCCATCAGTGACCCTTTTAGCAGGAGATAATGGTGCTATTACAGCTGCAATGATTACTGATGACACTAATGCTGGCAATAGACACTGTTGGCATTGAGTTGGCTCAACATCTGTTTCTAAAATGTAAAATTAAAAGCAAACATGTTAATCTGTTTGATTTATATTACCTTGGAAAGTATGCAGCAATGGGACCAAGTTATTGGTGAAATCATGCTACTGTCAGGTGTTAAAAGAAGGAAAACACATTATTGAGCTGAGGCTATCAGTGGCCCCACTTACTGGTCATGCGGTCCACAGCGAAAAACACGTGTCCACAGCTTGGGCAGGGGGAGGAATGACACCTGCATTTTGCAGGAGACCTTAGATCATCGTTTTGGCTCAGCTCAGGGCCAGAGTTTGAGCATTTGAAATTGTATATGTGGAAAAAAAAGTGAGCCTTTCCACCTTTTCCCGCTGAAAGGCAGGTCCCCTCCTTCACCTGCTCCTTCAAATTTCTGTTTGGGATTAAGCAGAGCAAAGACTCAGTCTCTACCATTTGCAGGTGAGAGCTCTGAGCATCTTAGTTCTTCTCTCTGGGGCTGTGCCCAAAATGGTGTCTTTACTACCAAGAAATATTTCTGGTAAGCCCAGTGAAAAACAGAAAATATCTAATTAGTCCATTCTGGCTGGTAAATTTGCTTTTAATAGGAGATGGTGGTCCAGGCAACAGATCTAGCTCTCTCTCTTTTTCACAACATTATCCAATTTTTGGGTACCTCTGTGCTCAATTTTTCTGCCACAATACCAAGCTTGTACCTCTTTCTGCTTAAAGGATGCTTTCTTTTGCTTTCTTCTTTTTTTTTTCTTTCTTCCTGAGAAGGCCCATTTTAAATGCTGGGGATGAGATCATCCTCAAACTTCCCATTGCTCCAAATTTTGAGACAAATGCTCAGCACAACTGAGTAGGAGACATTTTCGTTTGTTTGAACTCTGTTGCTTGTTTAACTTAGAATAAGCCTGATTCTTCATACACAGCATAAATCAGAAGGAAGTTCACTGAAATCAGCACAGTGCCTCAAAACTCGAATCAGAGCTTTGATTTCTTGAGTAGCCAAAGCAATTCCATCCATCAACATCTAGGAGGTAGGAAGTCCCATATGCCCCTTTGAGTGTGAAGTATCATATGTTTGCTAAATGACTGTGATTGCAAAAAGGCTCATGAGAGGCACTAAATCTCTGATGAGCACTCAGGGAGGGGACCCATTTGCTCAAATGGATGCAAGACAAGGTTATCAGTTACATCCCCTGCCATGTAGGTCTTTCAGCCTCCTGCTAATAAATTCAAGTTGTGATGCCCAACTACAGTTAATAGCACTTCTGCACAATGTGTAACACTATCTCTCTTCCCCTCAAAAAAGATATTGGATGTACTTGAATGACCTAGTGGTATATCCATGAAGAGGGGCTCAGGTTTCAGCAAGATATAAGTTCAGAGAATTCACTTGGACCTTCTTTTTACTGGGAAAAGGTGGGGAATTAGTAGTTACAAAGGATAAAACCTGGCATTTTACCCCACTTGAAGTAGGCTGTCAAAGCCAGGAGCAGAAGTCTTGTGTGACTCATGCTTTCTCTAGAGGAGGGATTCTGCAGCTGGCATCTCACACTAAGAGGACAATTTGAAGAATTGCCCTACAGATCCCCTTGGTGATCATTTTCCTGAAGTCATCACACGGTGTGAGGCCCAATGGACTTCAGTCCAGTTATTGCTTTGGAAAGGCTCCAGAGCAGGGTGTTCCCCAGGTTAATCACATGCTGAGATTTGCCATTTAGGGTTTTCCTTCTTGCGCTTTTGAATGTTACCTGAGGTCACTTGAAAGTGCATTTTATTGACAGAGGGACTTTGTAAGGAGGCTCCTCTATCCACTATTGTCTCCCTTCTAGACAGCTTCCCTGCTGGACTCTTCCCTTTTCCTGAGGCTTACACCACTGATGTAGCAAAAAAAGCTGTGTTATTTTGTTTTGGAAGTGCCATGCTATCAGTCTGTTACTTCTCTTACTCTTGGCTAACCAAATCCTGGAGTTAGCTTCAAAAAGCTTGTGGCATTTCTGCAGCGTGCCGCAGCAGGGGAAGGGCTGACTGTACCCGAGCGTTGAGGAATTCCTCTCGTCTCCTTGTAGTTTGGGTACAGAAATAAGCCAGAAGATTTATTGCAGGGGAAAAAGATATCATGCTGGTTCAATCTTCAGCACAGGCCAAATTTTTTTTGCAAAAGTTTCCTACTTTGATTTTTTTCCTCTTCCAAAATACGATCACTTTGATTATTTATTGGAAAATGTATTTTCTTACCATAAATGGTCCTTTGGAATAAGAAAAATGCTAGCAGTGATATAAATGGATATAAAATGGATATAAACTGTGGAAAGTTTTGTCTTAGAGAGAAAGCTCCCATGTCAGCAGTGAAGTGAGAGAAGGGGCCAAGAGGGGAGCCCATTTCTAGATGGAAAAGCTTTTTCTCCTGAAAAATCTCAGCTTACTCTTTCCAGGCTGGGCTTCCCCATGATTTTCATGTGATTAGGCAATGATGAGCCAAGCACTCACCCATTGTTTCAGCTATGCATGCCTCCTGCAACCTCCCCAGATCCTCAGGTCCACATCGGGCTCATTTGGCTGAAGGTTGGGAGCATCTGGGTGGGAGTGGGTTGCTCCTGCCCTTCATGCTAAACCACCTCCAGACGTGACTTGAAGCCACCTCCTTCCCCCACATACCCCCAACCCCAAGCAGTTGCATCAGTGGGAACAAGATTTAGGCAATCCCCAGTGTCATGGAATCAAGTTTTACAGTCCGTTGAGAGCACAATAAAATCTTTACTACTGTAGATGTCTCACATTTTCAAACCCTGTCCTGAAAAAATAACAAGTCCGTTACAGGAGAAATAGTTAACTATTACAAGTTTGTGCAAGTTTTAGTGACAGCAAAGGTCAGGAGGCAAGCAAGTTCTCGGAGAGCACCCAGGGACCCCAAAATGCCACCCACATCCCCATTGCTGCTCTGGTGCTCGGCAGCCACCACCAGGACTGTTCTTCCCATACCTGCATATGTGTTGCCCCAAAAGATTAGCAGAGAGCCACACAGCAATGACTGCATGGCTTCTCTTCCCTGAACGGTGAATTCAGTGGGTTGTGAAGCAAACAGCCCCAATTCACAGCTGTGCTGTGCCATCAGCCTGCCAAAGCATGGCCCCAAGTCACCCTGAGGGATCTGCATTCCCAAGAGCAGCTTTTGGGGGTGACCAGCCCCTGGGCTGGCGTCTCAGTATGACCACTGGTAGCCAGTGGGGGTGTGTAGCTGGGACAATGCATCCAAGTACGTGGGCCATTTTAGCTACAGCTTTTCACTCTGCACGGGGGAGGGGGGGGGGGGGGGGGGGGGGGGGCCTGCGGTGGTGCCCTCCAGGCTTTGTTCCCCTCCCTATGCAGGATGCAGCCACAGCTGGTGACATGGTGGGGAGAGGTGGTTTCCAGATGCTCTGCTCCCATCGGTGTGTCCAAGCACATGTGCAGCAGCAGAGTGCAGCCACCCCATCAGTGGCACTGGTGCGAGATGAAGGGTAGGAAGGTGAACGTGGCACCAAAGAGGGTGATTAATCCTGGGAATACTTGCAACCAAATCCTGAGATATCTGCAAAGTTATGTGGCAGTGGAGGCAGCCAACACAGCCTCAGGGGGGAGAGGAAGCTGCTACAGCAAAGGGTGAGGTTTGGCTTATCTGGAGTCACACAATGAGAGATGCCCTTGCTTCAAACAGGGCATTGTGCAAGCAGACAAGGGGGATGCTCACTGGGATACAAGTAATCTCTGCTGCTTCTATAAACTAATCTGGGTGGATACCTGGTTGCAGGGCATGTGAGATGTCCCCATTGCCCCACCAGGCACCAAGGTCAAGGTAGATGCTCCTGCCAGACTGGATTTCACAATTGTCCAGGCTCTTCCAGACCGGGGACATTATCCTGCTGCTTAGAGTAAAAAGGATGGATTCATAATACAGAGGGTGTATCCCAAAGCCCAGTGTAACCAACCAGGTCTGACCCATCAGTTTCCATCACCTTTGGGTTACCTGTGAAGTGCAGATAGGATTGTGAGTACAGTCCCACCTCTGGAGATACAGCTCATTGGTAGAAGATGCTTCAGGGAGCAATTCCAAAGAGCCCGTAGCTCTCATCAGAGAACAAGGGAGATTTCCAGGTGTGCTGCAGCCTGCTGTGACTCAAACCCTCTGGCTACCCTCTGGCACATCAAGCCTCTTGGCAGGGAAATGATGATCTTTGGCAATCCCAGCTCACCAAACACCACAAAACCTGCAAATGAGTTTGGTTGCACCTTGCTGAAGCCCCTCTGGCCTCTGCAGGCTCAAACCTCTACACAAATACCTAAACAAACTAGACCAAATTTAATGAACTCTAAAGTAAAGCTCCCCAAATCTTTCCTTGGACATGCATACGCAAGGTTATAAATAGAGATGGAAAAAACAGCTAAGCTCCTTTTAACACCACGAAAATATTACTGGACACATATTTTCTGAGAAGGTAAAGAAGGAAATAGCACCTAAGAGCTGTTAATAGTTCCTAGACACAGCTATTAGCAGACACAGCAGAACAAATTAGTTTGTTTATCAATGATGAGAAGATGAAAACTGCGGCTATTAATGGCCCAAAAGTAATACTTGGCATAGATGGAGAAACATTAGAAGAGGTGATGACACCTTGCTAGAGGACAAGTACTGAACAACAAAAGTAACAAATAACTTCTACAGAGTGGAGAAGCACTGTAAAAGTAGCCTGATCAGCACCAATCTAAAAATACGCATTTTCAGCACTGATACCATGTCTGTCCTTTGTGTCATCAAGTCCATGGGCAAAAACAGAGAGGATCTTGACCCAGTCCTCAAGAAACAACCATGAGAGGGGCTGTTGAGTCCATCAGGGAGCTTTTTCCAGTGTCCACAATTGTAGGCACTAAAATCTCATTGTACCACTGCCATGGCTTCCATGGAGGTGACATCACAGGTACACCTCGGCCCTGGAAAGCCTTTGGTAGAAGAGAGGAAAGGATGACCTGGTCCTTGGTCACAATGCTGGAAAGCACGGGCAGGCCACCAGAGACCAGCAGGCATAGCAGAAAGTGGTGGGTGCTATAACTGAGTGCTATGAGCAGCTGAGGTGGCAAGCAGACAAGGAGAGAAAGGCCAAAAAAATGAAGGAATGGCTGGCTCAGACTGTATGTGTCCCTGCTGTAAAGTGGTCTCATGGATAGAAAATAAATTATTATGTCACATACTTCTGTGTTTTTTTCCACTGCTCATCTCTGCAGCTGGACATATGACAAGGTTTCCCCAACAATAAAATTGGGGTCTGCAAGTGATACTGTAGGAGGACATTGAGGAGCAACGTAGTCATTCTCGTACCACACTTTCTACTGAGTTTAAATGTGAAGCTTTGAGACTCCATTTTCTAGAAGAAACTGTACTTTTAAAAACCCTGTTCTGCTATTAGGGTGCTCTTGGAGATTTTGGCTAGGGCTGCCCTGATGCCGCTGCCCTGAAACCCCACTTTTCTCCAGAACATCTGGAGGTGCTGCTTGTTCCTTTACCTTTAACACTTTAGGTTCCTCCAGCTGGACTGGGACATGAGACAAGAAATGTGGGGTTTTTTCCTCCTTTTCCCTCACTCCCACAGTGTCATCCATGTGGGAGTTGGTGTTTCACCAACCAGCACAACTCTGTGCCAAAGGACCTTACCTAGCATGGCATCTGGCAGTGAATAAAACCCAGCTCACTATTGGTTGCTCCCAGGCATCCATCTTCCTGGCATTATAGTCAGCTACACTGGTCATTCCTCACTCCTGGGATTCTCTGCTGGGGCCACGAGGTGCCAAGCACTTGAAAAATGCCCCCTTTCCTGCTTGTGGTTGGTCAGGCCCCACTGTAGAGTGATCTGGTCTGCCCTGCCAAGGCATATGGGGACTCCCAGGTCTGATACAATTAATTATCTCTGGGTAAGTGGATTGTTTTGAGCACTTAAAGCTACTTTAAGGATTTGGATGCACATCGGTAACCAGTCCGTAGGCTTTCCTACGGGTTCCTAGACAAGGAGGTGTAAATCCTACTGATAAGGCTTGTTAGTGATAGGGGGCTGGGGAGGGGAAGGAGGGGGGCTGTTTGGAGCCAGGCACAGCGATCTCCGGGGGCCGGGAGGGTTAAGCCCACCTCTGCAGCCCCCTCCTGCTGCCAGGGGAGCCCCTGGCCGGGGGGAGGCACTGGGGTGCTGCGGGCAGTCCGGGTCAGGCTGATTTACAGCAGCAGAGGAACTGGAGCTGTTAATTCAAAGTTGCCGCTTATCGGTGTTTAGAAAGCAAGCTCCGATCTGTTGGTTAGCGATTTGGCCTTTGCTGTAAATAGAGGGGCCCCATGCTTTACTTGACATTTTTGTCCTTATTATCTTGTCTCAGCCTCTGAGGGAGGTGGGAGAGTTATTTAAGGCTGACCTTAGTGCAAGGAAAATGAACAACTCCCTTACCCCACCCTGTTTTTCTCTGGTACTCCTGGGTAACAATTGTTTCATTGAAGTATCTGTGCAAGACACTTAATCCTCCACCATCCCTAAAAGTATTTTGTAGATCAATTCACCCTGCTGTGCCCAGAGAAAATAATCACAAAGAGATCAAGTAGAACTAATGTCAGTAGTAAAAAAAATGAGTTTTGCATCATTATCCCTCCAAGATGGGCCTTGCACTCATCAGGCACTGGAGTTCATCACTTAGCTTGTTCAGTCTTGCATTGCTGTAGTTCAGGTCTAATTCAAATCTATGTATTATGAGTTTGAAAAGCAGTTGCTTCATCCCAAGCTAAATCTCTGAACATCAAATGTTCACAGAAACACGTGACAGTGGCTGGTTGGACCTGGAGAGTTTTGTGGATTTGCAGAAATTTAAACTGAGACCCAAACCCTCTGCAGCTCTGGAATAGAGCATCTGGGGGATGCATAAGGAATCTTTGAGGGTCCCATCCCTCTTGGGATGAGCATGGGTTTGGGAGGTTTGCTGTGCAGAAGGCACATGTGCATGTGCTACAGCTGTTCCTGAGTGATACACACCTTATACAAGATGTTCAGAGTGAACTGGTTAAGAGAGACACAAAGAATCCCTCATTCATTTGGAGCACAGCACTTGTTAGACTCAAAAACATCTAATCTCCAAATTCTTATTTTATTGACCTGCCACCAACAACCCTATCAGCTGCACAATGAGAGTACTGCAAGGCTACAGTAGCACCTCTGGGGTGGAGACACATAGGGTTTTCAATCCCTTACCTAATCTTTGCAAACATCTCTATTCAGTTAAAAACAACAACAAAACCAGAAAAACACAAACCAAAAATCACCACCAAAGAAAAAAACAAAACAAAACAAAAACAAAAACAAACCTCCTGATCAGTTTTCAAGACATTTCAGATACTTTCTGCTTTCAGCTGTGCCAGAAAAATGTCAAAGATCATCTTTCCCCCTAGAAAACCTACCATTTTTCCAAACATTGTAATGAACAAGTGTTGGAAAACTGAAAACAAACTCCTTGCAGTGGAAAGTGCAGTACCCTTTCTGGTCCCTGGGGATAAAAACAAGCCTGATTTGAGCCGGATTAGCAGTACGAATGACAGCTCAGGTCAGACGCAGCCTTATCCGAATCAATTCCCCTCTCCGGGGAGGCGGTGCGTGTGTGTGTGCATACCTGCAGCTACAGGATTTGTAAATAATTGAGTTCTTCTGATCCGTACCACCACAGCACAAGAAGAAAGATTTGGTCCTGAGGGGGCTGACAGAGGTTCAAGCCCCAGATCTGCCACTTAGACACTTCTTCCCAAAGCTGTTTAGGCATGTAATTACTTTTCCGGCTCTGTGCCTGTTCTGAGTCTCTGGTTCTCTGCCTCCTTTTATCTGTCAGCTTTTTACAGGGACAAGAGTACTCTTCTACCTCCGAAGCATGTCATGAAATTGAATTCATTACAGCTGTAACATTTTAATGAGCACTGTGAAGATACAGGGTATCCTTACAAGTCCTAAATTAGGCAACTCCTTCTCAGAGGATACTGGGGTGCCTGGGTGCATGGTCCAGATGTGTGCTAGCAATACCTTAATCCACCTCTGTCCATGATTCTGGAAGGAATTTTAACCAGAGGAAGAATAGGGCTTCCATGTAAAAATGAAGCTTGCAGTAGTGACTGGAATTAGTTTCCTTAAACATAACTCTGGAGTAGCACACAAGGCATACACCAGCACCCCTACTTGGCTGCACCACTGGAACTGAACAGGAATAGTGAGAAATGCTGGGAGAGAATGCACGTAGTGAAGGCAAGTCCCCTGGAGTTTTACTGTTTAAAAGAGACCTCCCAACTACTGTTTCATGCATAATTGGTAATTGCAATTGGTAATATCCTGCCAAAGAAAGGCTTAGATCATCTCGTCTGCAAAGATGGGGGCATTTTCCACCTCCAAGTAAACATTTTGCATGAGTGCAAGTTGAAGATCTTCCACCATAAGATTCCCCAAGTTTGATTTTGAACACTGCCTGTAGGCAAGGCAGCTGACTTGAATCTGGACAGAAGAAGGATGCAAGAGCCAAACTCAGAATGCTAGGCCAGAAATATATTTCTTTATTTTCAATATCATGTCAGCAGCAGCACAATTCCAAAATGAAAAATAATTCTGTTTCATATTTCTTTACACAGAGAGACAGACAGATATCCACCCACGGCAGCAGCAGCAACAACAGCGAGACCGCTCAGCGAGGCACTGCGACACGCACACACCAGAGAGTACGGTGGGGCCTGGCTCTGAGGAAGGCTTCTTTCCTTTCTTCCTCCCTCGCCAGCCCGTGCTTCATTTATGGGAGCGTTCAACTCGGGCTGACCCATCACGTTGGCTTTGCCCAGTCACTTTTTATAGAGCTTGCAGTCATGTTTGGTGAGTTCTGGGGAAATGGCATGAAGGTTTCAATGACCTGCCCAAAGGACATGAGCTTGTGCTTAACTCTAAGCAGCCACATAGTCCTACAAATCTGTACCACTGTCAGGAAAAGGGAATTCATAACATCTTTTGGTGGAAGGTGTGACTGGGTAGATCCTCAAAGTCTTTTTCTCTGAGTAATCTAAAGGCCAGGCTGGATGGAGCTCGGAGCAACCTGATCTAGCGAAAACTGTCCCTGCCCATGGCAAAGGGGTTGGAACTAAAATGATCTTTAGGGTCCTTTCCAACTCAAACCATTCTATGATTCTATGATCTCGTTCAAGGCAAGTCTATAAATCTAACCAGCCTTGTGCACAATACTTAAGGGATACCTTAAGACAAAATTGAAAGCATGGGAAAAATCTAAGACAACTCAGGAAAAAGCCTGAAAACAGGAATACTGGAGGGTTACAGGAAATCCCAACAATATCAGAGATTACAGCAAGGGCTGTGGGCGCCTCTCCAGCCCACAGGAAGCTGATGGGTGATAGAGACCAAATGTTCCCTGATATGGGAGAGTGGATGAAAAGAGACTCAGGGATGCACCGCCTCTAACAGTGGGACTGCTATGGGAAGCAGCAATAATCTGTACCAAGGCAACATCACAATATCAGCTGCTTCAACAGGAAAATTGTGTTTTAAAAGAGTCGATCAAGTGACTTGAAATAAGTTTGTCTTTAGAAAAGGAATACCATCTAGTGGCCCAAAAAGGCAATAAGGATGTGCAATGGCAGTTAAAGAATCAGAGGAATTTAGAAAAAGATAAAGAAAAACTACAGAAGTAAAGAGAGAGATTAACATATATAGTGAAGCAATTTGCCCTGGAGCAAGGGAGAGCTCAAAAGGGACCTGATCATAGTAAAACGTAAATCTAAAGTTAGGCACTTGCAAGAGCAGATTGGGATGCAAAAATTAAAAATAACTGCTGGA